CTCACAAGATAAACACTGATTTTACTACTGCATGTTTATATCTATTAACAATATTTTTCACCAAGTTAAACACTGATTTTACTATTGTATGATTATGTCTATTAACTATATTACTCACCAAGTTAAATACTGGTTTTACTACTGCATGTTGATATCTATTAACTATATTACTCATCAAGGTAAACACTAATTTTACTACTGCATGTTGATATCTATTACCTCCAAACTTTTAAACGAAGATTATATTGTTACTTTGAGTTATGTCAGATTCTTTTCTTAATTGGAGGATTATTCTTTCTTTACATGATAGCCATTAAGTATTGTATGAAACTAATTAATTTCACCACATTTATAAGTAATTGTTTATTTTCTATTGCATATGTTTGTTTATATCAGTGTTTTTTGCTTGTTTGTGTGTTATTGGAAGTGTAGTTGCTAACATCATAATAGCCTTACTAGTTGAAATTAGATACAGGTCTAATAATTTCACAATTTCTTGTATTAGTATTTACGTTTTGGTATTTTTGAGTTTACACAAATAATAATAATAATAATCACATATAATATATTCCAAAAAACAATAAACTGTTATGGATAATCAATATTTTAAGTAACATAGTTAATTAGGGCTTTAAAAGAAACATCCCAGCAAGCCTAATTAAAATAGCATAATAACTCTCTAATCGTCAGCTTTGTCTATAATTTAATGATCTCCAGCATCGTCGGACTGATATTACTCGTTGCAATAGTTTTAAGTTTATTATAATGTTTTACTTTCTTATTAAAAAAAAAAGATTGTTGAAATTCTAGTTTTCTTAAGCTTAAACAGTTTTTTAACGTTAAGTGATATCCATTATTATTCAATATTTGTGTAACAGCATTTTTTCCTTTTGTAATTTCGAAACCTGCTTGTGGCGAAATATCAAACTTGTTGAATATTTTTGTGATATTTTTCTGTCTATTAAAAACTGGATGAAATGCAATTGTTATTGGTTGAAAAATAATTGTGGGGTGAAAGGAAAATATTTTTGATTTGACAATCGATATCAAATTGAAACAGTGAAATCACTGATGATGGTAGAATTTCTTAACACATTTGAACACTTAATTTATGTGACAATCTTGTAATTAAACTCCTAACGTAGAAATATAGTTGTTTTGAAAAGATATTTGTTTACTGGCTGAAATAAGTTTATAAAGAAAATCATCGTTATATCTTGTTATTCGTATTTTGATTGTAGTTACATTTATATCCTATTTCCAAAATATCACGTTTTCTTGAATAACAATAATCCAGTTACAAAATAAGATAAAGGAGTGAATGATTAAAAACATAGATGTGAAACGTATTCTTGTACGTTGATTGGGCTATTTTTTATGTTTAGTTTGTATGCTTTGAAATCAATCATCAAAGTTAAATACTTACTCTGAGAAGTACATCAGTTTATGCAGTTACATATTTATATAACCATCCTCAATGGTAGGAACAAAATACAATTCCATATAGTTATGGTTCAGATATCAAAATCCAGTGAAGCTTTGAAAACAAGTGGGACTAATATTTGTGACAAAAATCACTTACATTACAGATTTTCACTTTTCTCTTAACTTGCACATTACGGATTTGAAAGCACAGTGGTGTATGCATTTTAGATCTATCTTTCGTCTCCCAAAATTCACTGCCCTACTGTTCAATACCAGAACTGGTTAGTTGAGCTGGAGGAAAAGAGCAAAATTAATCAAAAAGTCTATATTTATGTGCAGTACAAGATCATTAAATCTAAGATGTTTTATCACTGAAAAGTCTATATTTATGTGCAGTACAAGATCATTAAATCTAAGATGTTTTATCACTGAAAAGTCTATATTTATGTGCAGTACAAGATCATTAAATCTAAGATGTTTTATCACTGTAAAGTCTATATTTATGTGCAGTACAAGATTATTAAATCTATGATGTTTTATCACTGAAAAGTCTATATTTATGTGCAGTACAAGATTATTAAATCTATAATGTTTTATCACTGAAAAGTCTATATTCATGTGCAGTACAGGATCATTAAATCTAAGATGTTTTATCACTGAAAAGTCTATATTTATGTGCAGTACAAGATTATTAAATCTAATATGTTTTATCACTGAAAAGTCTATATTTATGTGCAGTACAAGATTATTAAATCTAATATGTTTTATCACTGAAAAGTCTATATTTATGTGCAGTACAAGATTATTAAATCTAATATGTTTTATCACTGAAAAGTCTATATTTATGTGCAGCACAAGATTATTAAATCTAAGATGTTTTATCATTAGCAGACCTATTGATTTCCAATGTTTCGTGTCTTTCGGTGTTCATACAGTAAATTATATAATTATTGTAATGTATATAAAAATTCCTTTTCGCAAAATTCTGTCTCTCATTGTCGAACCTAGGTGACGACGAGTTCTTCTGTGTAGTAACTTATGAGAAACAAAAACAGATATGAAATGTTAGTTTTACACACCTCTGATCTGAAATAAGTAATTTGCATGAAAGAAACGAAAAATTTGCAGTCACAGTAATTTTTTCCCCCACATATATCGAACCTAGTGATCTGCAATGTTTTTAGAGCTTTCTGCGCTCAAACAGTAGTTTAGTAAAGTAAACATATATATAGCATTTCAGATACAATTTTCTTTCTTATCCTCCATCACAGGTGACGAGTTCTGGAATTCAAAGAAAGGCCTCCTTCTCTTTGTAAGGTATTTATAACACACCTAATTACATGGTATCTTTTTTTATTATGGAAACATGTTTTCCTTGGAATAACAATAACGAGGTTAAAAAACATTACTCAAAATAGTATATCGATGCATGTTTCGTGGTCTTGTAGAAGAATATGTCTATGTTATTTGACTTTATTTTATTATGAACATTAATTATTGAACTTTTACAGTGTTTGAGATAGTTAGTTTCCCTGTTGTTACTCTTTTGCCATGGTAGTGGTCTTATATATTTCTTTTAATATAGGTATACTTATTTATCATAACCACACATCTGCTGATTTTTTATTGCCGTATTACGAAATAATGACCATGTTCTTAGCCAGAACTACCCACCTTTCAAGAGTGTACTATTGTAGACGTAATTTAGTTGATGAACGAACACCGTAAATTTGGTGTATTGTAGAAATATGAGATAAGGCTGAAAAATGATGAAAACGTGTTTGGACACAATAAGGTAAAGGATATGTGGGAAGACATATGAAAATATTGTTTTTTTCTTTTTGTTTTCTGAAAAAAAAGACGGTTTGCTTCAAGCACATCTTAGATGTTCTTTTTCCATCTTAGTTTTTGTCATAAAAATTAGCCCAAATAATGATATATATATAAGCTAATATGTAGACATATATTAACTTCTTTTATTTATTTATCTTTCAGTTCTCAGTAGAAGAACGTAAAACGTTTCCATATGATCTTCATAAGTCTTTTGACAATAATAAATCAAACAATATCATCGTTTGTATCAAGCAACATGTTAGTAAAACTCTCAAATCATTTTAATGTTGTGCAGTTATTATTTGTTTATAATCTGAGTAAAGTCATTCTATGACTTTTTGTTGAGTTTTAAATCATGACACTTTATATTCTGTTTTTTGATATGAAGACTAAAAAAATAAAATTATTGCATTTAAATACTTTTGTACGGAATGAAACGTTTATATATGTGTGTTTGAATTCAACGCAGGTGTATTATTTCAACTACTACTCCACCCCCTTGACGTGACCTTCTTAAGAACTGTCACATGCTTCCACTCATCCTATGCAGAGCAATGATCATAGCAGCTTGGAGTAATGGAGTAATATTATATTCTCCAGCTGGCCCCAGTCACATGACTCGTGACATTTCTGTACTTTCCAATCAATCAACTAGACTGAATACTGATCTAGTAGAATCCTGGATGACAAAAACAATAACACTTCAACAAGTCACCGTGCTCATTTTACATCTTAAAAGATTGAATGTTCTCTTCAAGTTAATTGTTAGTACATTCATTTTGCACAATAAACCAGAATATTTTAAAGGCATTTACAGTTTGTGTGTATTTCTTCTCTAAGTTATTTCTGTAGTTTATTAATGCAAAATCATGTGAATATTGAAATAACTACATGGCTATGAAAGATTGAAACATAAACTTTTTTTTTTGGAGGAGGATGAAACCCTATAATTCTTTTGTTGTATCTCTTTTTAAATTATGATTCCGTATTTATTGGTATTATTCCGTTACTTTATGTTGTGATGCTAATAATTGCTAAGAAAAGAGTACAACATGATATTTACTTATGATGCCCTCAGGAAAGCACCATTTTACAGGATGAGTTTATCTTGTACCTTTTATCATGAATTTAGTTGAATTATGACCCAGTTAACTTTGTTTTAAAGTCTATAGAATATATTTTATATAAATATCGTTTTAGAAAACAAAACCACGAATAAGAAGTCTGATATCAAAATACGTAGAAAATAGTTTCTTTGTTATTACAATTATTCATTATAGGTTACGAGTGTCAGAGTTTTATTGTAGAATTAATAATATAATGAATAAATGAATCATGTTTGCTTCAAGATATGTAAGTTTTGATAAAAATCTCGTAAACTGGAGATGCTTTTTTCCCAACGTTCCTTTTAATTTTTCCATTTCGGACTCAAAATCATAAACGTGTAAAAAATAACTTTTCAGATGCGTCTTTTGTCTCCCAGAAGTCATTACCCAAGATGCTTCTCTTTGAATACCAGAACCCGTCAGTTAACCTGGACGACGAGAGACAAAAGATTATCTAAAATGCAATTTGAATATGCAGTATCATACTTTTAAAAGCTACAATTTAGACTACTGAACCATTATAAACCAATAAATCTTTTTTTTAAAATCACGTAAAAAATCATCCGCAGATTGGGTGTTTGAAGTTTAATTAAACCGTAATTTGTATGTATGTAAGTTTCTGCTTAAAATTTGTTGAGTAACTTAACCGTTCAGATTACTGGCAATTTTTGCAGCGGTAAAAACATTAGCTAGTGTTAGTTATAACTATTTTATTTGTTTATTTGTAGTTAAGTACAAAGCTATACAACAGACTATCTTTGTGTAAATTTTGATATAAAACAATCCGTTGTCTTTCAGTAGCAAAACGTATTTTTCAGAAGGAGTTGAGCCTCCCACATCACTGTAAAATAATTTGGTTTTGTAAGTCTTAGGGGAAGTTAGCGTTACTGCAGCATTGGATAACACATGAGTATAAGTCCAATGACTTAGTCAAACCTTGTACATGTGTGTGTGTGTCGACACTGCACATGTGCTACACTCAGTCAGATTAGACTTCTATAAGGGGATATATTTACACATACACATTCATCGAATTTCTGGCATACCAGTTACAACTCAATAGAGCCTACATGCAGTGCTCGGATCAAATGACCCTGGTGATCACTTATGTTTAACTTGCTTGTGGACCGTCATACCTCCATCTATACCAAAACAACAACTTTGTAAGCAAAATAAATGATACCAAGATGATGATGAAACCCTCACACCGAATGAACTAATATCAGTAATTAATGGAAACTTGTTGCTACAGTGAGGATTGTGAATATATTTTAGACACTTACTTATAAACATATTATATATTTGTAGACAATCTTAAAACGAATATTTAATATTTTTCCTTTCTTATGATATTTTGGACAATACATACATTGAAATGTAAATGGTGTATACCTAATTCCTCTAGACCACAGCGCTTCGTATTCAACACTATGCAAGGTATAATCTCTCCATCCTCTGAGTTGGAGAATATTTCTACACTGGGGCCACAGAGGGTTAAGATATCCTTCACGCCAGTTCTTCTTGTATAAATGTCTATGGCCAGTGCTGCAATAATTGTCATGTTTATGCTTATTCGCTAACCTACATTTTCAATATGTACTTTTGCTTCATATGAGTTATAGTTTTCATAATTCAATAAACCAACTTTTTCTAGGAACAACAAGAAGAAAATCCAATCAAGATATGTAATAGTTTGCCTACTGACGGGTACAGAATTTGTAACTAGTAGTTTGTACAGGTAAACGGTTTTTCTTGGTTTGGCTTGTCATATTCATTCTTCTGCTAAGCATCTTCTACGCATATATGGTCTAGGACATCTGCCGCTATCAAGAAAAGTACCTCCTTCTGTTCATGTTATTTGTTGACTTCAGTTATTATGAACAATTGACTTCTCTTCCCATCGCCATCATATTGGTGCCATAAATGATGGATAAGTATTTGATTTACGAGTTTGTCACTATAATGAAGAGAATGCAGCTGTGTCATTTGATGCATTCAGAAGTAACAGTTTTGGCTAATATGTTTTGTCCATTTGTATGATTATTCCTACTACATTTTATCAAATAGATAGACTTTTTTTAGGTATTTTAGAAGTTGTATCAAAACCAGTTTCAGTCTGTTTTCGTTTGCTAGTTTGGACTCTTTAGATCAAAGTGTAAACGGCACAAAAATCAAATGTGAGAAATTAGTTCAACCGGATTTAATAATGTGAAAACGCTCACCACATTTTTGGGATTTTAGCCTGGTTAATTGATAACCAAGAATTAAAATTAAATGAAATAAAACACAGGAGCATATTTGTTTTTCCGCATAGATTTTAAATTAGATTTGTTTATTCTATTTCAGATAAATAATTATAAGTTCATGTGTTTATTGTAATTTAAATGGGACCATATCTTAAAACTAACACTCATAGTATGTTATTTCATTTTAGAGATAATTAACGTCTGATAAATTCATCAGCCACGGTACTGAATTACTATGTAATGGGACTACCAGAGCTGGTTCCAGAGCATAATTTATTTAAACTGTATCTAAATAAGTATTATCGGTGATCTCTGAGCCTAAACTTGTGTGTTTCTGTAATCTACAAGTTTCATTTACTTGAGGGAATCGCAAGAAACACTTTTATCAGTATTTTAACGTTAGGAAAACAATTCTAATAGATACAGTTATAACGTGGTATGTATTATAGGAAAGTTTGGTGCCAAAGATGTTAGTACAATTAAATTATGCGATTCGTGTTTTTCTTAGTCTTGTTTACTGTGGTCTTTATTTTTCCAGTAGAAAGTGATGAAGAAAAGTATTTTTTCATGTATAACTGGTTTACGTATTAAAATTGCTTATATCCAATGTGCTTTCCATGGACATATTAAACTTTGCTCAGCATCATTTAAAATTAAAGTACCGAACACAATGAATAACACATAGCTTTGATAAAACGGATTCAAAACTTATTGTTTTTATGTTTTTTTACATCTCTTAATTTCATTGAAAGGTTACATAACTGAAAGTATCTACCCCCCCCCCACCCCAACACACACACACACACATAACAACGGTTAGGTTAACTCCAGTCGAATAGTGAGATCTTGCTGTTATAAAGTACACACTGACCCAAATTGCTGAGCACGAATTGTTTTAAAACAGGATGAGAATCATGAACCCCTATTAGATTTAGTAGTGTAAAAGCATGTTTATAAGAATTCCTATTATAAAATCAAATACACTGATTAGGAAACAACCTTCATGACTTTTAGACACTTTCACCTTTTTTAAATGTGTTCTACGTGTATAATCGTTTGTTTGATCTTGAATATCTAATTACTATATATATATGTTAATGAATATCTAATTACTATATATATATGTTAATGAATATCTAATTACTATATATATATATGTTAATGAATATCTAATTACTATATATATATGTTAATGAATATCTAATTACTATATATTAATGAATATCTAATTACTATATATATGTTAATGAATATCTAATTACTATATATATATATGTTGATGAATATCTAATTACTATATATGTGTTAATGGATATATAAGTTACCATTGAAGTTGAAGTTCATCCTAATTTGTAATATCTTATCCTGAGGCTTTCGACAGTAGTAATTAAGCTGTATAACAATCACGAACGAAATCAAGAGATTAAAAACCTTATTTCTTACATAACTGATTTTTTTATTAAAAGGATCTTTGGTTCTTCCTCAGACAATTCTTATCTATTCCATCTTTTCCAAAAACATAATTTAGTTTGAACTCAAGAGTGTGAAGATCTTAGAATGAGAATTCTAGTCTGGAATATTCATACACGAGAGTGAAAAATGGAGTCATTAATTTTTACTATCTAAAGTTGAACTTTAAAAATTAGCTTTTTTTTTTCCCTCTTGTAGATATGTTATTTTTTATGAGTATTTAGATACCACCCAAGTCGTTTGAAACCCGATCAACCCGAGGATTTTTGGTTATGATTGTAATTGTACCGTCATAAAACTGGAGGCCGGACGTTGATCCTTAAAGGCAACGAGTAGGTGGGGAGTCTCGGGACGTATATGTCTAAGCTTACGGGGAAGAATTAAATCTCTTGCCACCCACGTTGTTTAAGAACTCATTAACTTAATCGGCTTACCTGTAAAAGATAAAGAGGAGAAAGAAGATATTGTTTACAAACCATATAGAGTTGCTCCTCTCTCTCAAAGTAAAAGATAAACTTCACTAGATACTCGTTTCAGAATGAAGTCAAGGACTATAATATCCAAAAAAAGCGTATCTCATAACTTCACAGACTCAGAAGCTTGTGAAAACAGTCAGCTCGATAGAAACTATTTGCAAAACGCGACGCCCTCTGGTGGTTCAGCCCAAATTATGATGCTAAAAATCTAGTTTCGATACCCACGGTAGGCACTGCACAGATAGCTCATTGTGTAGCCTCGCGCTTAACAACAAAAAAGCAAACTAAACGTGATAACTCACTGGTAGTAAATCCTCATATCTTTAATCATGTGTCCGTCAGTGATGAGTATCTAAACAAGATGGACATATTTATTTGTACTGTTATACAGGGTGTTCATAAAGTCATTGTACAACTTTAAAATCTAATAACCTTTGATGTACACACGATAGAAACTAACTAACGAATTTGGCGACGATAGAAGAAAAGGTTAACTGTG